AGCTTTGTGCTTACGGTTTTTAGTTTATATTTTAGGTACTTCTGTTTTCAAAGGGAAGAGCTTGGGATGATTATAGAGCAAAGACCACCTCATTCCGCATTTTCATAATTTACTCTGATGTGATATGATGATTGATACATTAGTTTTATCTGGATTTTTATGATGATGTTTTTGGGATACTTGTTTATTAATTTAGAAATGAAATTTTTGGGTCATTTATTTGGTACATTACAACTTTTAATTGGTATCTCTACAATAGGAGGAGGTGCGAGTATTCCTCGAGAAGTACTTGTTGGTGTTGTGCTATTGGAGTTTTCATTATATCTAGAAAACTTATCTTCGAAGAATTCCACATCTCTGGATTCTACGACAACACCAGATTCATCATCCAATAATCGGTAAGCCTTGTTGTTCTGAGCATATCCAATTAACACACTCTTCACACCTCAAGCTCCCAATTTGGATCTCTAAGGATTAGTTGTCTAATAATAAGCCACACACCCCCATACTTTCAAATAGTCTAGGTTATGCTTTCTACCTTTCCACAACTCATACGGGCTTGTAGGAATCACACAACTAGTGATCCTATGATGAACATGACAAGCAGTCAATAGTGCTTATCCACTTAGATTATTTAGTAGACTAGATTGATTCAACATGTAGTTGACCATCTCACAAAGGGTCCTATTCCTTCTCTTAGCCAAACCATTATGTTTGGGAGTATATGGTGAAGTTCTCTCATGTTTGATTCCATTCTCTTCGCGGAATGTGTCAAACTCTTGGTTGAAATATTCTTTGCCCCTGTCTAAGCGAAGAATTTTGTTGCGTCTTTCAAGTTGATTTTCCACTTTAGCCTTATATAGTTTAAATGCATTAAAAGCTTCATCTTTTGATATCAACAATTAAACATGTAGATATCGACTGGAGTCATCACAAAATGTGATGAAATACCTTTTTCCTCCTCGAGTAAGTATTCCATTTAATTCATACATATCAGAATAAATCAACTCAAGTAATGATGTATTTCTCTTAACTAGTGGAAAAGGTTTCGTTGTAAACTTTGAGTTCACACAAGTTTCACATTTTTCAAAGTCTTTTGTGTCATATTTTAACATTCCTTTAGACTGCATTTTTCCAATGTTTTTAACATTAGTGTATGCTAAACGTTTATGCCATAAAGAAATTGAACAAAAAAAATAACCAAAAAAGTTCAATTCATTCACATTAGTAACCAATCCACCAATTACATCATTACTAGCAACACTAGACACACTTCCATTAGTACTATCAACACTAAACCCATTTGCACTACCCTCATCACTAAGGCACAAACGATACGTCCTGAATAATTGTTCGCCCTCCCAACATATCTTCTGCCCTTAGTGATCACAATCCTGCCTTTCTCAAGCTCCATCTTGAACCCACCTTTGTCAAATTTGTCCACAGAAACCAACCCCTTCTAGATATTAGGAACATGAAGAACATCTTGAAGGGGTAATCCATTCACCACATGTGAACTTCATACGAACATCACCTCTTCCTTGAACTTCAACTCTATGACCATCAGCACAGATAATTACCATTCCTCTTGGCATTAGATTGTAAGTGTGGAAGCCCTATCGTTTCCCATAAACATGCACAGTGGCTCCAATGTCTACGAACCATCCTCGAACACATATTTTCTCGGGTAAGTGAAGAGATCATGAAAATCTCTCTAATGTTCACACTTGCCACCAATATCAATAACATGCTCAACTGCATGTGCTACTAGTCTTGATTTGCGATCTTTGCATTCTCCCGTGTACCGCTCAATCTCTTTGCAAACATGGCAAGGTCCGGTCCTCTTTGTCTTTGAGTTAGGATTCTAATGACTCGGTTTCTTGAAGCTTTGTTTCTTGGGTCCCAAGTTCCTTTTGTTTTGTCCAGACTTGGTCTGATAATCAAAACCCCCAGCTGATACATGATGCACACTCGATCCGACTTTAACATGCTTGTCCCTGATGCGAGTTTCCTCCTTAATGAGAAGCGTTTCTTCAGATCATCCAAGGAGTAGTCCTCAGATTTATGCATCATTCTTTTAGAGAAATCTTTCCATGAGGGTGGCAATTATGCGATGATTTCACCAACCTAAAAGAGTTATAGTATCGAGATGGAGAACATGTTATGCTTATTTACCATGATCTGGAGTTCATGCACTTGCTCAATGATAGGTTTATCATCAGCTATTTGAAAATCTTGGTACTTAGACACTAGGTACTTGTTAGTGCCTTCCTTATGTGCCTTGTACTTGAGTTTCATAGCTCTCTCAAATCTTTGACCAGTACGTAAAGATCATAAAGCCGATCAGACAGTAAGTTCTTGATGTAACCCACAAATAGTTCCTCAGCTTCTTTATGCAGAGCCCTTTGCTTTTCGTGATCAGATATGATCATTGGATCTATAGTTTTCCCTGCCTCGGGAATTGGATCAGCATGAATTGGGGTCAATTTTGGGACTAAAACATAGGTGAGCTTCAACACATGAAGCATGAACTTGAACTTGTCGGGCCAACGAGTGTAGTTCTGACCAACGAATCGGTAAAGCTTGGCAAACTCTTGGTTCATGTAGTGGAGACTAGCAGTTGATTTGGGTGTCCATTAGTCTGTTGATTTATAAACACAAATAAAAATCATTAAGATTGTTGTAAATCAAAACCAATAGATACACAAGGAAACTGACAAATAATATTGAGAATTATATATCGATTAGTTGCAAATAATAGATCCAATTATTATTAATATGATGACCAGGTTTCGTCTAGAAACCAAATCAATCTTTCTCGATTGGATCTGAAGTTGATTTGGTTGTCCAGTAGTCTATTGATTTATAAACACAAATAAAAATCCCTAAGATTTTTGTAAATCAAAACCAACAGACACGCAAGGAACCCGACAAATAATATTGAAAATTATATATCGATTAGTTGCGAATAATAGATTCGATTATTATTAATATGATTACCAAGTTTCGTCTAAAAACTAGATCAATCCTTCTTGATTGGATCTGGCTATAAGAAAGGTAGAAGGAGAGTGTCTTGTTATTAATGGATGAAAGTAAATACGAGACAAAAAGATAAAATTGGCATGTTGACGGCTGATCTTGATCTTAGAACTGCACAAATCGAACTCTTGTCTATAAAGGTTTTTATATCGATTTTATCGGTTGTAAGCAACAAAGTAAAACCCTAGGATTTAATGCAGATTTACCGAGTTTCCAATAGCAATGAAAAACGATAAAACGCAAAGTGAATATTCAAAAAGCTAGAGGAAATCGCCAAGAGAGAGTGAGAGCTTCGAAATTCATGTGTGTAATATGGCTCCTAGGGAGTATTTATAGGTTTTGAAGCCCTAGAAGGCAGTAAAGGGGTCCCTCATGGGTCGGCCCCCTAGAAACCCTAGGGCAACGACTTGCTCTCCAACCAAGCTGTTTTCTAAGCTCTCTAGAATATTTAGTTTCCTTATCCATGAAGTCAACATTGGTCAAGCGTTTGACCGGATTGGTCACACCGACTTGATGCGAACTCATCTAAAATAAAAGCTCATTGGCTCCCAACAACCGATGTGTCATGAGAAGTGCCAAGTACCCTAAATCATGAAGACATAATTTTGAAGAGAGTATCTATAAGTCGGGTAGAAATGGGAATAAAGAAGGAGCTGAACATGATTTCCACGGAAATAGTATGAGATCTCTCGATCTTTGTCTTCGGCTATTGTCTTAACAGGGGCAAGGCAATTGGAGAGATGAAAAGTCGAGCAAGACTTAAATAAATGGGATACATTTGGTCCTTGGGGTTTGGTCTTAGGCAAGAACACCCCCTCCCTCTTTGAACTTTCATAATAAATGGATACTTTCAGATCTAACAAAAATGGTCCCTGAAATATTTTTTTATTTCTTTTTATTATTCGATTTTTATATATTTCTTTTTAATTAAATTTTTTAACATTTGTACAATCTTAGTTATTTATTATTGAAAATTTATATTTCATTTTTAAAGTATTAAATTATTCGTTTTATTTATTAACTCCCCTTTTATTATTTTATATATTATTTTAATTCATTATGATATAATTATCAGATCCTAGCGCTCAAGAAAATTAAAAGAAATATATTCCTAACAATTTTAAATTGTTTACGGAAGGATATGGTGTTACACTATGTTTACTTGAAAAAAGCTATCTTAAACTTGATAATCTAGCTTATAAAAACTGATAGTTAATAAAAATTGTCAACCAAATATAAAATGGCATAACATGTATTTAGAATAATTATTCAATTTTATAAAACAAAGACATAATACATCAAATAAAAATTATACTAAATACATTAACAATAATTCTTTGAATATTTTGCATCACATATCGATTAAATATTGAATGATCATATAATTCTTCCGTAGCTATGTAATCATTATGTGTTAACAATGTTCAAAGTAAAAGAAGTTTAAATGCCATCTACTTCAAGAAAAATTAAAAATCAAATACATAAATGAATACCAACTACAAAGACAAGATGCTACTAAATTTTTAAATTTTGAAAATAAACAATATTGGCATCCAAGTAAAAGGATAACATCAAACTATATAGCTACTAGCATCAATAAGTTTGAAAAGTTAACATTTCAGTATAAAATATTTCGATTAATAAATTCTCCAACTTATGTTTCTGTTTAAACACACTTCAACCATGCCGATTTATAATCATCACCAAGGCATTTGAAGAATATATCCCTATTAGGCTATTAGTCATTACACCAAATATATATCCCCACCAACCTCAACAACACAATTTGCATCTATTCAATTCATAATAAACATTATCCGACTCTTAAACCATAATAAATACACTCTAAAATAATAATTAACCGAAAATATGTTCCTTTTTTTGTCTTATCTGCCTAGATACCATCACTAAACATTAAAAAAAAAAAAAAAAAAAAAAAAAAAAAAAAAAAAAAAAAAAAACCTACATACAAACGGAAAACTTGACAATTTCAGAGCAAAAATACCTCTACTACATGACATACTTGTAATAGTATCAATAATATTCCCAACACACCATCTACCCAATAAATAAATAAAAACCAAAGTAGATTATATTACACTAGAACACATTTTATACACATGAAATGACCAATAATCACATCAATCACAAGTTGAGTTGATAAAACAAAGAAGGAACAAGATCAACAACAGACCAAGCAAGACCAGCATACTGCACCAATCGGATACCCGTATCAACATCAAACGAATCCTCCCTCCTAAAAAACATCTTCTGTAGATACCCTCCTGAAGGTTTGACTTCATTTGACTTTTTGACCACTGAAGAACCGGTCAAACCTACAACATACCCAGATGACCTTACAGGTATTCCCAAGGCACTTGCTGTAATCGGTAGAATCCATTTCGCAAGAGCTTTGCTGCAAAACTTAACAAGCAAGATCGTCGGAATGCCGATTCCGATTCTACCACCGAAGGCCGGAATCGTCAATTCCGGTGTGAATAAACGCGATACGTTTTCGTGATGGAATTGATTGTAAGTTTGTTGGACTCCGGTTACCTGGACAATAACATATATTATAGGTTTGCATGTAAGGTATAATTATCAATTTGTTTATAATGAAAATAATATAAATAAAAAAAAGTTAAAATTCATACAATTCCCAATGCCACTCCAGTGAAGGCCGTGTGATACTCAAAACTTGGAGTTGGATGCTCGGGTGTTGGGTAGGCAAAGAGTAACAAGAAGCTAAGTGCAATCCAAAAGGACGTAACTGGAAAAAAGGTAAATTGTGGATTTTAATGATTTTGGTAAACATAATCAAGATTTTTTAAAATGGAAATAACGATTAAGTTAAGTACAAGAAAACATACCGTTTTGTCCTATAGTTACAAAATTGTCGATGTATTCATGAACACAAAGCCAAAAAGCAAGAATTATTAATCCAAGAACAAGGCCACCAATAATGTCGATCACACTATGCATTCCAAGATATATTCTTCCTACAAAAAAAAAGAATCAAGTGATGAAAATAGAGAAGAAAAGGGTATTTTGAGACAAAAATTTGAAACTTACCAAAGCCAATTAGGCCTACAAACAAGCAAACAAACATAAAGGTTGCTACTTGATAGTATGCATCTATATTCTCATTGTATGAGAAGATATAGTGTAAGAGGTACCTAAATATCATGAAGAATGTTAGTTAGTTGCTATTAGGGGTAGAAATGTAAATATGTTGTTATTTAATGCATACCCAGACAGGCAAATTGTGTTGAGAGTGTGAGAAGATGGAAACCCGTATTCCAATGCATTCTCTTTTTCGTCTTTAGTGGCTGTTAGAATTCTTATGGGTGGTGATTTGGGTCTTGGAGCAGATACCATATCCTACAAAATGCATGCGATTTTGTGAATATGAATAAACCTTTAAAAGGATAAACATTCAAGAACAAAAATGGAAATTATAAAAATTATACCTTTATACAATTCCCTGAATAATCACAGAACGCCATTAAAAGTGTCATTTGTCTTGCCAATTTTCCATGACCACTCTACAACATAAAAACTAACACCAATCAATTGTGTATATGGATTTAAATGCTTATTCCTCTTTCACAAATGAAATCTTTATATAAATATAAAAAGAATTTACCCAAAATAGCAAGGGAAGAAAGCCAGTATAAAAAGGCACAGAAACAACACAAGATATCCCAGAGAACAAAGCATCCCAAAAACCATGCTGGTATTTCTGAAATAATTCACAAAAAAGTTAAGTGAAAATCAAAGATTCGATACAAATAACAAGCAATTTGATGAGACAAGTGATATGGGTGTTAATGAAATGTTTGTGTTGCCCTACATACCCACCAAACTTTATGCGCAGAATTAGTAACCTAACAGAATACTAAGAAAATTCATGATATTAATGACATGGTTTCCTATAAAATGTTTGGAATTTCTTCAAGTATCAGCCGATAGGTTAAGTAAAAGTTGGAAACTGCCAACAAGAAGAACAAGAGAATTGTTGAGATTAGTGACATCGGTATTTCCGTCTCCGTACAATGCTGGTATACTCCACATACCAAACATAAATCAGAACAAAAATCGAAGGAATCCAACGTGAATAGAAACAAAGATATGAAATTGATGAGATTAGTGAATAGTGATATGGGTTTACGCAAAATCAAACGTTCAATTGTGAAAAGTGAACAAAATATTGTATACCTGGATCTGAAGAATAGTAGGAGCACCGGTGATTACACGACGAGACACCCATGGCTGTACCGAAGACCTAATCTTCTGGGTGACATTAAACATCGAAGATAAAACGACCCAAGTCAAAACCCCACACAAAAACGACACTTGCCATGTGGGTATGATGCTCTCCATTTGTGCCTCTGGTTCGTTGTCCCTCCAATTTTACGGAATTGAGGGATCAGAGAGAGCGAATCATGATGATTTTGTAAAATTTGAATTGGGAATTGACCTAATAACTTGGGAATGACCGTAAATGGACTATGACTTCGTTTTGGATTTTGTTGGGGAGAAGATTTCTAGCCAGTCGGCAGCCAATTCAGGAACAGTACAAAACTCTGGTTTTTATGCAATGTTTTGCAACTTGGAGCAATTTTTGAATAAAAAAATTGTGTAGATTCGTATCCAATTTAAAGACATTTTTGTTTCTCTGGGAGTTTTACTTTTACCTGGTTGGTAAAAATTAAAAAAATAATAATAATAATACTTTGTTTATTTTATGAATCTTCATAATGAAAAGCTATTTTATATATATATATATATATATATATATATATATATATATATATATATATATATATATATATATATATATATATGATCAAATGAGAACATCAAAAAAATTGAGAATGTGAAAACAGATCTGAGCTCTTCAAATATTACGATCTAAGGTTAAAATAATTTATAAAAGTAATGAGATGAAATTGTAAATTTCTAAAAGTTATGGTATGAGATTGTAAATTTTTAATAATCTAAAGGGTAATATGGTCATTACATGTTAACTTATTTTTGTAAGTTGCTGGAATATCTCTCTGTCCCCCCCCCCCCCCCCCCCCCGTTCCCTTTCTCTCTCTCTCTCTCTCTCACGTATCCTTCTTCCTCTCCCTATCTAAATACAAATTTCAAACCTTTAAAACCTAATTGAGCCGTCACCACCATACACCATATCGGAACTAAAAAAGTTAGGCCCGGAGGAGATCTAGGGGTACGATGGGCTGGAGAAAGTTGGAGATGAAGCGAATTTCTTCAAGGTAAGTTGGGATCTTCCCTGTAAAGTTGTTATGTGAGGCGTCAAAAGTTTGAAGGGCCCGCAACGATCTCAACGACGATGGAAGAGTTCCCTAAAAGAAGTTATTGCTTATGTCGAGATTCACAAGGCTGCTACAGCTGCTAATGGTGAATAATTTCGTTTAAGTTCTTAAGGTTGCCAACCTCTTGTGGAAGTTCTCCCGACGATTGATTACCACCCAAATTCAAGCTAATGGATAGTGTTGAGAGTTCAAATAGTTTCCTAGGTATTTCACCAGTAAGGTTATTTCGATCTATTCCTAACTTTATCAACCTCTTGCAGTTCCCCAAACTTGATGGCATGCTTCCATTGAATTCATTTAAGCCCAGGTCCAGTTCAATCAATAATGAAAGATTTCCTAAAGAACCAGGAATGTTCCCTGAGAAAGAGTTATTCTTAAGATCTAGTTTCTATAAACTTCCAAGATTGCTAAAGTTCACCTGATTAATTGTGCCTTTGAGTTTGTTATTAGACAAGTCTAGAGAAGTTCGGTCGGAAAGATTACCAATTGATGAAGGAAGGCCACCAGAAAAAGCATTTGAAGCAAGGCTTAGAAAACTTAGTGTATTAGACAAGTTTCCTAGAGAATATGGCAAAAAACCTTCCACCGAGTCCACATTTACCAAGGGAAAGAATTTCAAGGGATGTAAGATTCCCGATGAACCTTGGAATCCCACCTGAGAAATTGTTGACCCGAAGGATGTGTAAATAGTGTTATTCATTTATGAATAGCACGTGTATTCATTTATGATAGAATGTGTATTAATTTATAAATGACAGTGTATTCATTTGTGAATTGCAGTGTATCCATGTGTGAATGATTGTATTTATTTATGAATATTAGTGTATTCATGTGAATGGGTGTATTTATTTATGATTAGAGGTATTCATTTTATGAAAAATTGATAATTTTTACACTTTTTTTATTTTCAATTTATGAAAAGTGTATTGAATTATTTGTAATTTGATGTGTTTTCATTTATGATTGGAAGTGTATTGATTTAGGATTGGATTTCTATTCATTTTTTTTTGAAAAACAAAAACGTGAAATAGTAGAAAATAATATTTTTTTTAAGATTTTCTTTTCAGATTTAAAATAAAAGGTAATATTAATTTTTTAGGTGATTTTTTTGAAACGGTCATAAATAATTTTTGGGAAAAATCATAATATATATATATATATATATATATATATATATATATATATATATATATATATATATATATTATTAACTAAAAGGAAATATTAATTTTGTTAGGTAATTAAAATCATTATCCCTAGATTTTAGGAAATCATTAATTAATATTTATATAAAGCTACTAATATACCCTTATAAAATGATTGGTCAAAAACTGTTCTCGCATTCTCAACCTTTTAGGTGTTCTCATTTGATCTTCTCCGTATATATATATATATATATATATATATATATATATATATATATATATATATATATATATATATATATATATATATATATATATTCAAATGTTTCCAACAAGTGCACCAATCACAATTTAGCAAATTATTAATTATTTTATTAAATATGTAATGGTAGTAGAACTGACAGTTTGTGTATTCGTGTCATGAAAACGTGTCAGCTACGAATTTAACACGATACCATTATACGATTAGAAATAAGTTTTATCTCAATTTTTAAGATGTATTTGTGTTGTGTCGTGTCTCTCACAGATTTGTGTATTCATGTCTGGAATTGCCAGGCCTAAATGGTAGTTATGTAATCTTTCATTTTAATTCTTTATTCATTATGATTCTTATCCCTTTATATTAGGCAATGATTTATGATTGATTTAGTTATCATTAATTTAATTTTCTTTATATATTCGATTCAAACGTCCCCCACACACAGATCACAATTGTCGATTCCATTAGCTGCTTATTACTTTGTTCTACACAATCGATGGATGTTCATACTGGAAATTGGAACCAGGTATTCATACAATATGAACAAGAACATCTGACCAGGATAGTGAAGATTCGAGTCAAATGTCCCCCGCACACCCTTTTACTGTTTTACATATACATATGTATCAAATATGATAATCTTGCAGGATAATGAAGATCAGAATCCCGAGAAGGATCTGGGTAATTTCAATGATCCCAAGAATCCGGTGAATGAAGTTGTGAAGGAAAAAAGAAGATGTAAAATATGCTTTAGACTTGGTCATGATAGCAGGAAATGTCTTTTTGGATTGTAGAAAGCTTAGAACTACAAGAAATTCATCAAATTAGTCGTTTTTAGATATTTTAAAGTTTGGTTTCAGTAAATTAAAAGTGTGTTTTGATGAATTATTTGTTATTATTAAGTTTCATTTCAGTGTAATAAAATTATCGTTTGATGAATTCTACGTGTTTTTCTGTTATTTTTATGTTTACAACTAATAAGATGTTTGTGTTTTTCTGGTATATTTATGTTTCATAGGATCATACAGTTATCATTCCAAAAGAATGCCAGAAAAAACATTACAGTTATCATTCCAACAGAATGTCAAAAAAAAAATGTTCGTTATATTTCATAAAATATGCTTGATTTTCATAAAATAAAAACACATAATGTCAAAAATAAAATTTGTAAACAATGAGCAATACAATGAATTGAACTTAAACAGTTTAAGAGTTAACTCTCTTGTAAGTCATATTACTATAACATTCTAGTAGAATGATTTGAAAAACACAAATCATACATGCATAAATGATTCTAAATACACTTCCTACTCTATAATACATATTCGAACTCAATAAACATCAAATAAAACAAAAAAAAATACCTTTAGGTTCCGCAACGAAATCATCATCGTCATCTTCAAGATTCAAGGCGTTTCTGATGTGTTTTTGAACTTCGACTTGAATGAAGTCAATCATGTACTCATTCTTCTAGAATACCGTTCACAGAAGCCCCCAAATGTCAATTCCGTCTTGTAGGGTAAAATGTCAATATTTATATGCAAGAAACTTTAAAGAATCTTCCGATTTTGAAGATTGATGCAATAAATCAGAATATATTTTGATCTCCAAAGGAATTGGTTTTCGATTTTGATAGTATGCGAGATATTTTGAATTATCAGTTGATCACTTCCATAGTTATCGACCGTTTCCTATTAAAATTATGAGGCAATGTACCATTATTGTAACACCTGATTCCTGGTATGCCTTTAATTCAAGTATTTCTATTGTTTTTCTCTGGGACTCGACGAGTTGGAGGCCCAACTCGTCGAGTAGAGTCGTGATACATGGGGAGTTTAAGTAGTCTACTCGACGAGTCAGTAGACCGACTCGGCGAGTAGACGATGTTTGAGTGAAACCCTAAATTGAGGGTTTGCACCCTATTTAAACACATTATAACCCCTCAAATCAACCCGCATCGCCTAGAGCAGACCCTAACTCGAAACCCTAGCCATTTATTGTGTGTTCTTGAGCCTTGTGGTGTTATTTTATGTGGTTGAAGCTTGGAGTGAAGAAGGAGGCTTGTGAGATCAAGGGGAAACAAGAAGATCCAGAGTTTTGAACACATTTCAAGCTTGTTTGAGGTATAAAGCTGAAACCTTGGCTATTACTTGCTTAGATCTTGATTTTGGACCATTTTCTACATTTTTCTAAGCCTTCGTAAGGTTGTATTCGGGTTTGAGTGTGGAAGTGAGTTTTGCACTTCAGATATGGGGCCATTGGGGGTCTTTATGGCATAAAGATGCCAACTTTGTTGCCATAAACACCCAATGCATCTTATAGACCTTCTTTCATGGCTTTTTGAGCCAAAGGCCCTATGCATGTACACCAAGTTCGAAGCTTTACGTGTAAAATGGATACTAGGAGGCCAGATCTATGGTTTTGATGTGTTAAGACGCAATCAAATCGACTGTATAGTAATGGTCAAGGATGGACTTGATGATTCATTATTGGGACTCGACGAGTCAGGGTGTAATGACCACTAAATCCTTTATGTTCTTGGGCCAGATGTTAGGATACAAGGTCCCTCAGTTGCATAGAATCATAAGGGACCTGGGAATCATAGGACTCGATGAGTTGTTCTTGGGACTCGGCGAGTCTAAGGCAATCTCCCAAACCATGAAGATGGACTCGAAGGGTTGTTCATACAACTCGGCGAGTCATAGACCGGACACATTCATATGTTGAAGATGAACTCGACGAGTTCAAGGAAGAACTTAGCGAGTCAGTTGAAGATTGAATGAAGTGTTGTTGAAGATGAACTCGGCGAGCTCTTACTAGACTCGACGAGTAGGGACGGGTTTGTAGTATTTTGTGGACAAAGGGACTCGACGAGTTGGCGGACTAACTCGACGAGTCTGGTCAACCAAAGAGTTGACTTGACCAGGGTTTGACTTTGACCTGGA